GGAGCATTGACAGCGGGAGACACTTGAATAGAAATTGCAGCAGGGCCACCGGAAAAGAGCGGACACCAGCAGTGATAGTGGGAGACACATGAATAGAAATGCTGCATGGCCAGCGGAGAAGGGTGGACACCAGCCGTGACAGTGGGAGACAAATGAATAGAAATGCTGCATGGCCAGCGGAAAAGGGCGGACACCACCAGTGACAGCAGACACCAGCAGCGACAGACCTGGGAGACAAATGCGTAGAAATGAAATGGTACATGGCTAACGGAAAAGGGCGGACACCAGCAGTGACAGACCATGAAAAGAAATGCTATATTGCCAGCGGAAAAGGGCGGTAACCAGTGACAGACTTGAGAGACAAATGAAAAACGAATAGAAATGCTACATGGCCAGCGGAAAAGGGCGGACACCAGCAGTGACAGACCTGGGAGACAAATTAATGAATAGAAATGCTACATGGCCAGCGGAAAAGAATGTAGTGGCAGTTTCCATCAGCCTGCCGACAGTCGTAGCAGCACCTACTGCCAGCGCTCCTCCTGCTGCTGCAACATCTGCATTGCCAGCACGTGGGTGCAGACTGCTGCGAAACACAGGACCATGCTGGAACTATGCCGCCATTGAATGCGAGTGTAGCCTTCTGAGGATTTGCAGCTCGCCTTCGCCTTTGACCAGGCTGGCGTTGCCGCACTGCTGGATCAAAGGTAGCAATGGAGGGAAATTCTGGGCAACTGCTTTGGTGATCATGCGCCACGGCAAACCATTCACGATAGCGTCGTGCAGCCCTGGATCTCGTTCCTGGATCTTTTGAATTGAGATTTTGCCATCCACTGTGATCCCTTCGTTGTGCACTGAATGCGCACTGCTTCTACTGTAAACTACTGTGACCTTGACCTCTGGTCCAAACCCCTGCTTCGATTGAGGATCCAAACCGCCTGCTATGGAGGGTCTATAGATTCTGAGGGTAGGATCATTGGGGACATATTGGGACTCAGTTCCTGCCACGGGACGGGCTGTGACATGGCTGGCCATTGGCATGACCCTCTGACTCGTCACACCGTCACACTGTTTTTTTTCCCGGACTTGCAACGTGAACAGAGAGGGGGGTGACCAGCTGAAAACATCTTAGAATCAATCGAGCAAGAGTTCCACCAAACTAAACAGCCCAACCAGAACCCGTTTGCAACCTCCCGAAGACACCCGTCAAATATCATCAACACGGAATATGAGACCACTCCTTTCGACGAGATATTCTAAGATAGGTGAGGTTCTGCATCGTTCAGCGATTTTTTCAAAGCCCAACACCACTTCATCATCAGCTCGAACAGCATCGAAACCGCTCGACGCGGTTGCCGGACCGCGCCGCCTCGCTTCGATCTCACTGAACTGCTTCAACCGGTCCATCTCCTGGCGTGGCGTGGACCGCGGCAGTGTTCCAGAGGTTGAAGAACCCTATAGGCTATCCTATAAGGGTCCTATAAGCTTACGGGTCCTATAAGGTCACTTAACTTCTGTTGGTTTGCTTCTCCTCTTTCCCAAACATGCCTACCTGGTGCGTCTTGCAGGGAATGAGGGTGGCTGGATCCAATAGAATCTCTATTAGGGGCTCATTCTCTTATTCCCTACTAAGCACCAGTCAGCATGCCTAGCTCCAAGAAGAGCTTCAGCCTTCAGCTTCGCTCCAGGCCCCGGCAAAAAACACCTCAAGTTCCAATCTGTCGACTACACTGACTACACTGAAGCCTTTGGAAGGTTTTGTGTCGAACATGGCATGGCCTGCTCAATGTCATTGCACTAAGAGCCTTCAGAAAGAACACACACAAAACTTGTAGAAAAATGCTACAAATCACGATGTGTTTTTTCAGGGTCCAAGATGATCCGAACATCAAAAGCGGTATATGGATGGTCATGCCTCCCACATTCCTCATGACTCTCATTGCGTGAAGTAACGGGAAGGAACGGTAGATGGCAGATGGTCGACCTCACCAAGATCCACCAACAACAGCAAAGGTTGAAGAACCCGAACTAGACTATCCTATGGGTACTCCTGTAGGGTCCTAGTTCAGGTCACTTAACCTCTGTAGGTAGGCGGAAGAATCTCCATCTGTGATGTCCAGCTTCGCTTCGTGACTCGTCACGACCGAAGCTTCGTCCGTCAAAGTCTGTGACCGGCTACGACTCCCTGAGAACCGTATACACCTCGTCGCGATCAGGCTGAGGGTGGATGCGACTGCCGAAGCTGAAAACGAACAGCTTGGACTACCAGGAATGGAAGAATGCGATGACTTTCTGCATTGTGGTTTCAAGTTGGCGACAAATATCAAACAATCTGAGTCAGTTAAGTACTGAAAATGGCTGAACATCCAAATCTTCAATTACCACCACCCAGCGGGTTCCGCAACACTCTCGGGTCCCACCTCTACGGGTTCACGCTCTGCTCGCCGCACGTCCGAGTCGGCGCCGGAGCCCTCGCGCGCGGTGCGGCTTTGCCAGACCGGCTCCAGAAAGTCATAGGTCTCCTCGCGCGAACGCGTGCGGCAGGCGGTGCGCACGCACCGGTGGGGTGCGTGGAGTCATTCCTCTGTCTGCTTCCTACTCGGTCTGCGCCTTTTGGCGGAGAGGTGGCTGATTTCGAAGGCTTAGGTTTATGTTAACCACTCCCTAGGGATCCAATTACCTTCTCAGAAGGCACCTGGACCCTCCAAACCCACTCCAAACACCTTCTGAGAAGGTACTTGGATCCCTAGGGACTTAATTAGATTCTCAGAGATTCAGAATGATTCAGAGTTAGCCTGGGTCCAAAGAACACGTTCGGCTTGGTGAATAAACTTTGATCCGAATCCGGATAGCCAAGATGGAAAGATCACTACTATAGCCTGGTATTCCCAATCAGGGGTCTTCACACTCGCCCGGACAAACTTCGGCCCGGTTCTGGAATGTAAGCTCTTCACAACACCCAAAAACTGACCAATCCCAGACACTCCATGTCCCTACATTGACCCCCAAAACCACCCCAACTGATCGGCAAATATGGCAGTCCCATTAGTCGTGTCGGGGAATCCATGTCACCACTCTGTTCAGCCGATTTCGCGACCACCGACGTGACCAGCATGAGGACTAGCAGTCCACTCATGAGGACTGCACCATGAAAAAGACGTCCGGCAGCTTCACTGCACCAACCGTCCTCTGTAGGAGCCTCCGGTTCATCTTCCAGCCTGGCTGCTCTCAGTTCACCAAACAAACATGACCTTGCATTGGTGTTAGCTTGCTAGCGGTACATGTATGGCTGTTCCAGTCCCATGGATGGTTCCAGGACCAGGAGTCTGCAACGAACGGACCAGGTGTCTGCATCAGAAATGCCTCCCCTGGCCATCTCCAAGAGGAAGGGCAGTCTCTTACTGGCCGCCATATCCGGAAGATTCTCCCGAGTATCTGGTGGTGAATCAACTAAAGTATATAAATTATAATTAGTATTCGCTGGTTCTTCAGTGACCAAGCTTGATCTCCTGGTATGAGGTCATGAAAAGGCCTCATGAAAAGGGTCCAAAGATGGTCAGGAACTGAAGAAGCTGCTATTTCAGTTTCAGATGGATCTCGAGACACAGAAAGTCTAAGTCTGTGCCCTTCCAGGGCCCCAGCATCTCTGATTGGACACATGCGGTCAGCTAAGCGATGATTCATTCGAGTCCGTGATTGGAGACCTTGAATTTAGAAAGCACCTGGACTACATGGACTTCACAAAATCACGTAAAAATAACACTTGACGTCTCCACAAACCCAGTGTGAGGGAAATATGATTCAGGAGGGCTTGGACTTGATTCTTGAGATGAATCCAGTGTTTGGTACCATTTCAACAGCACGGGCCGTCCGTACGAGTGCACCTTGCATCATCCCATGAACATGACAGATCCGTTGTCACTGCAAGGTCCAGTGTTGGAATCCGCCTTCTCACTTCCCTTCCACCAGACGCCCGTGGGCCAGCCGTTTGCCTTGTTTTCTCCTTCACACCATCAAAAACATCATGGACACCCACTGCCCTTACTATGGAAGACCTTAAGAATCCATCAACATACTGTAGGTGCACTTCTGACCTTCCACTTTCCCAAGTAACTCAACTTAGCAAACCCATGCAGTAGACCTTATCCAAGTAGTGTTCTTGTCTCGCGTTCGCCCAGCGGCCCAAAGGTGAGGCTGGTCCGCCGTCCAGTGGACATCCGCCGCAAGGAGCGACGTGGAGAGGCCTGGCAGAAACGGTGCCCTGGCCTTGAGGGGTGGTCCAGCGCCCATTGAAATGGTTCAAGATCGGTTCTGAATCTCTAGAGCACCTTCCTCCTTGTTTTAAGACGAAACAAAGTGCTCCAAGGCTGGGCAAACAATTCTTCACTGAAAGAAACACTGGCAAATCAGGGGTGACAAACCTGAGTCATGAAGCCATGGAAGCAAGAATCCAGTCGAAACCAACCTGTATCTGCGTTTGGAACCATGAACCCCAGCTCATGGGAGGGATGAGCATATATTTGCAAACACAAATAATTAGTTTCCACGTACCCACGTTAAGAAGTCGTCAACATTTGAGCCCACCCTTGAACTTCTGCAGTTCCTCAAACTGAGAGCTGCACTATATATCTAACCCACTACTTGCATCTACTTGCAGTCACTGCAGTCATTGATCCCAAACCCGCATAGACTTTGAACACATTTCGATCTTTTGAACGGTGCAACTCCCAGATTTTTGGTGACAATGGGTGTGTACTGTACATGAATATAGGGAGACATATAGCCAATGGGTAGACCAGTATATTTCAACTTCCTCAGGAGGTCGTTGCCTGGGAGGTCGCCCTATGTCAATTCACACCCACCTAGACCTTGACCGAGCTCCGGTCCGCTTCGCATGGGCTTCGTATCCCCCAGCTTCGCCCACGCAAGGAACCACCGAGCGGCAGCGAGCACGGCGGAGGCTGCGGAGGTCAGCGAGCTGCGACGGCGGGGCGAGCCACGGTCGATGGGCGCGTCCAGGTTGACCTGAGGGTTTTCTTGGGACTTCGTTTTCGTTCCCCCAAGGGCGCTTTCTGGCGCGGCGCAGTTCAGGCCCAACGTTTCTTCGTTCGACATATTAAGCCCAAAACGGACAGACTGGGTGGCCCGGTCCGGACTGGCCGCACCTTAAAAAGGTCGGTCACCTGGGTGGGTTGGTGCGAAGGAAGCGGTGGGACAGTCACCAACTTGTATCGAGTCGAGGCACAAAAACACCGCAACTAGCGGCTTCTAGTCGACTAGTAACTAGTACTGATGCTGTCGACTGACCGAAAGGATCCCAAAGGTTGGTTCTGTAGATGGTGAGATCCACTCGGAAAGTTATACTGACTATGGCCTGCTATGGATGGTATCTTCCGTATCTTGACATCTGCAAATGCTGAGAAGTATTTGGTCGAGAACTCGCCAGGACGGACCCTCAGCAGTGAAATCCACGCACGACGTTTGTAGAGGAAACAGTGGTGTGCCCGGTGACCCAAAAACAGTCTTACCCTTACGACTCAGTCCACAATCTCATGTACCAGGTACTTGGCTGTTTATCTTGATATTCTGGAAGAGTCCTTGAATATACCCGGTAATGAATTGACCATACTTGACCAAAACTGGCACATCCTTGGTCGCTCCAAGCAGCTTTTGTCATGGTCGGTTGGCTTTTCATGGACTTGGACCGCTGCCAATCAGCGCTTTGTGGGCTCGACTCGTCCTGCAGGTCGTCCGAGAAAAGAGCTCTTCGATCCAGGTGACCCGTCGAGATGCCAACCGAACATAACCGAAGATGCTTTTTCCAGCCCCATGGATCATTCCGGAGTATCTGCGCAGAAAAACCGCCTCAGGATTGGAAGCCGGTTTCGTCGATCGCGGGGGTGCAGATTGCGATTTCCCCCAACCCCGGATCCTTACGGATCCTAAGACCACGTAAAACCGTGCCCGGTGACCTCATTGAGTGGGGGCTTTATGAGGTCTTTGACCTGTAGGGCTGTAGGGCTCACGCATTGGCACCTTAAACTCCTCAAGCAACTTGAACGTACGAACCTTCGCCTTGAAACCCTCGACATGGTGAGCAACCACAGTGACCGGAAAGGTTTTGGACATGGCCACTTCATGCGATGTTCTAGTTCCTCTCGCAGTTGTTCTCTCGAAGCCATTTGGGGAATCAGCTCTTTTGGCTCCAAGGATAAGGTAGCTGCATGATGTATGCAGCCCCCTTCGGCATGCAAATCCAAATCCAAATCCTCACATGAAACCAAGTCGAGGCCTGGTTCTCTCAAGTCAAGGCCAGCCCAAACCAGCAATGCAAAGAAGCAAGGCACTATCAGTTACTTTCTTTGCGCCTCATTTTTCAGTTAGGAATTGCATGTAGGACAAATCCAAATGGATTCGAGAGCGAGAAGATCTGGATATCTGACAGCGCTGACAGGCTATATAATTTGGGGTGAAGCCATCTGCTGATATTCTACATACAAAAGTCAATATGTTGGCTTAGGCTACATACTGACGCAGCAAAGCTGCACCGAACCTCTATATAGGGGGACCACCCACAAGCCAAGCATTCTAGCACTTGAGATGCGGTCCCAGTTCTGGTGAGGCTCCTTCAAAAAAGCCCCCGAAAGCCCAATTCTGAAGCACTCAAGCTGGAGAATCAAGTCTTTCACACGAAAACTATCAGCTATAGCAGCATGCTATAGGCATTTTTTTTCATTAGCCCGACTCTCGACCACTTCTGGGAAGACATCTTCCGCTTGACAACAAGTACACATGGTGGTTCAGTAATGAAGTCAGGTTGCTTTCTGCATCCCCCAACTCGCCCGCCCCGTCCTCGGCATCGCTCGTGCCATCGCCTCCACCCGAAGAAGGTGCGCCACCCACGAGGAGTGAAGCAAGGCCCTTGGACTGGGCAAAGGCCTCAGCTTCCCAGGCCTTATGGATCCCAGACACTCCATGTGTGCCATATATGCCTACATTGACCTCCAAAACCACCCCAATGTAGGCATATATGGCATACATGGAGTGTTTGGGGATCATACCGAACCTGACAAGGTGATTGGAGACTTTCACCCGTTTGGGCTCCGTTCGTCCGCCCCGTTTTCGTTTCGAAGGCTGGTGGGGGTCTTTCCGGGGGGTCTTTTGACCACCGGTCACCTGAAGATATGGTTTTTGTCGCCCTAGGGTAAGTAGGCGCCAGGAGGGCCCAGTCATACATTCCCTAAAGATCCAATTACCTTCTCAGAAGGCACCTGGACCCTCCAAACCCACTCCAAACACCTTCTGAGAAGGTACTTGGATCCCTAGGGATTCTGAAAAAAGCCTACTTATGTGGATCCCGCACGGACGAACCAACCGTTGACCGGCCAGCCGAACAAACGGGTGAAAAACCCGGAAAAGACGTTGACGTCATCGAATGGTTTGACGTCTGGTGAGCTGAGGACACTTCCTGAAACCCTCACTGGGTCAACGTCTCGTTGCCGCGTTGAACTGGACTTCTGCCTATAGGGTCTTTGTCATGTTTTTGGTGCATGGGAAACGTGGGTGGAAACACAGTCCCCCTCCAAACAAAAACAGACCTGGACCTTCTTTCGGGGTGTCCTGGCTGGAGGTCCCGAAGTGGTGGGCTGGGGCGAAACCAGCCAGGTGACCTGGGATGTTCACTTGAATTTACTTGATATCCACTGACGGGATCCAAACCGCCTCAGAGGTCCCCTGGGACGACACGAGTCCCGCGCCTTCCACGAAACACACGGAGTTTTCGGTGAACGACAGCGGCTGGTGGTTACCACTCCTATAGTCTAAGCTTCAGTAGCAGTTGAGCTAAGCTTAGCTACTAAGCTTAAGTAAGCTAAGTAGTCATGAGGACTAGGCTAAGCTTCAGTGGCTCCAGTAGCTCCGTTGGCTAAGCAAAGCCGATCTCGGCATGTGGCAAGCAGCGAGTGACTTGAAAGGGCGTTCGCCGCTAGCGCATACTGCTGTATGCATTACTGGCTTCATGTTTGAAGCTCCTGCTCATTCCCCCTTATATGTGGCTTCTGAATGATCTGAATTTGCCTGTGCTCCCAAGTGTTCTTTTCTTGGACTTGCAACCAAGCGGCATCCAATCAAAGGGTTTGTTCTTTTCCCAGAAGGCTGTCCTGGATTTTGCCCTGATTCCCTCCAACCTCCGAATAGTTACATGCATGAACACCCCATTGGCCCATGACCCCCACTGTAGGTCAGTCACTCTTTTATGGCGATGTTCCCCTTCAAGATCCGGTGCCCCTTTTCAACGCCAGGTCACCCCCACCGTGGAAGATCTCCGTAAGCTCTGCAGGGACAGGGAACTTCGACGCCGTCCTCCCTGTGTCTGCGAGCGTTGCGGCGCATCCCCGTCCTGCAGGCTGCGTTCCGGGGTGGGAAGACACCCGACTCGTCCATTGAGCTCCGACTCGTAGTCTATTCCCCCTACACCTCCAGTCATACCTCCTCAGAAGGTATGACTAGACCCTCCTGGCACCCACCCCAGTTTCAATGAACCTCAGGTTCAGTACGACTGGAGGCCAAACGGGATTCTCACTTCATGTTCGATGGATCCATAGCCCAGACACGACCTGTCTGGGACTGTCAGGACGGACTCCCGAGAAAAGGCCTTTTGGGTGCTTGAAAATAGGGGGTCAATGTATGTCCCTAGGGCTCCTGGCCCACCTCCGTGAGGTTCGATGGGCCAGGGGTGGGTGCCAGGGGGGTCGAATGCCACCGAACCTGAGGAGATGGGACGATCGGAGCCCAAACGGGTGTAGAAATATGCCAGTCCTAAGACGTCGTCTGGGATCGTTTTGATGAAGAATCCTTACCAATCTTGAGGCTTGGTCTCCGGATCTGGAGTTGGTCTCCGGATCTGGTGTTGGACTGATAGACCTTGTACAGTGGATTGATGATTTGTCTGAGAAGGTCTCCTTGCAGGTTAAAGACCTCATTGGAGTTGATCATAATTAATGATGTAAAGACCAGGTTTTACTACTGAGTCTGAATGATGTTGGCGCATGTTTGCGCTCTTTCCACTGTTGCATGCAAGTGGTGGAACCTCGTCTTCACACTTGGTGGAGAATCTTGGCTGGGAACATTTCTAGTCTGTACAGTTCGTAAGGCTGGGAACCCACTGGGGATTTCAAGCCCAATCCTAAACTTAAGAGCATGTCAGATGACCATTTTTGGCCCCCAAGCAACCCTTCGATTCTGGGGTCCACTTGCCAATGGCTGCGAGTGGCCACCTCCAGAGGTACATGGCCACCTGGATATGTACACTTCACATGTTTTCACGGTGACACCGGTGTTCTGTGCCGACACCATGAACACCCCCAGGGTGTTGTGTTGCCCAAACACCAAGCACCATGAAACTCTGCACAAGGTAGGTATAGTTGCATATGAACAGTAATATGTATAATGTTGACTAATATATTAGGTCCAAATCAAACGATCTCACGAACTCCTTGTTGGGTGGACGAACTACATGGATTAAAGACCCCGGTTCTCATCTCTGCACATCCGGACGCTCCGATCTCCTCACCCACGGAGAGCCTGGCCGCGCGGACGAACAAATGGCCCCCGGCGACTCCAGCATCGACCCCAAATGGCACAAGATATTGAATCGAAAAGCGCGCGCAGCCTGCTCGCAGCGGCACCAGCACCCTGCACCGACACCCTGTTTTGAAAGTGCAAACAGCCAGCTCACCCAGCACCAGCACCCAGCACCAGGACAAACACCCTGTCTCGAAAGCTCGATAGCCCGCACAGCCAGCTTGCAGAGGCACCAGCACTAAGCACCAGCACCGCCGCCCTGTCTTGAAAGCACGCACAGCCAGTTCATTCTTTGAAGTAAGAACCCCACAGCTATCGATATCTGGGGGATGGCGGAACACTGGCCGCATCACCTCACCCTAGACTGTTTGCCCAAAGCTGTTCCTTGACGCTCCATGTGACGATATACCTACAGAACATCTCGGAGCGCTTTGAAAAAGGAGTCGGGACAAAAAGAAAAAGGAACAAATACAGGGACTCGGTGAAGTGGACACAACCCACTCATGAAGACAGGGTAAAAAAGGTAAAAAAGGACAAACACAACCCTGTTGTGGAACCTGGACCACTTCCGCTTCCTATGCAAACCGACTGATGGAAGTGGACCACTTCCGCTGCCTGTATGGGAATTCCGATCCAGTGGTCCACTTCCACGTACGTGAGTCAAAGGGTAATATGAATCAATGCGTTGTGTAGAAGCAACAGCCCACCAATCAAACGTAGGACATGTGTTGGATGAACGAAAGGTAGGGATTGGGATGGTAGGAATGTTGCATGTGTCTGGTGCGGACCGCTCACCGCTCTCGTCGGCCGTGGGCGCGCACTGACCGCAAGGGAGGGATGGATGTTGCATGTGATGGATTTTGTCTGACGCGGCTGTGTTTTGGATTTTGGTAGGGAAGATTCGGGTTTGGATGTTCCAAACCAGGATTCATGAGGATCGCAGACGTGATACGCACACCCAACACATGGTATCGACACAATCACGCAGAAGACGACTTGGAATGGAACATGCGATTGGGGCAGTGCCCTGAAACTCCATAGACTCATAGTCAATAAAGCTCAAAATGAGCTTCATACCAACCGGTCAGGAGCTTGAGTAAAAGGGTAAAATGTGCATAAATGGCCAAGTAATTATCCTAAATTTACCCAATTCCCTGCAGCTTTCTCAATTCTAATCATTCATTCACATCAGTAGCTTAAGCCAGTCCTACATAGTAACTGCTTAAACTTGTCCTTTGTCCTACTTCCCAGCAGGGTCAACCAGTCAAACCGAAACGTTTCGCAACGACTCAACGACCGAGTGCCATCGCAGTGCCAAGGCCATGGCTCTGTTGGGACTTGCTCCGACTTCTCCTGGAATGGTTGGAATTCGAAGGGTTCCGCAGATCCAAATCGAATGGATGTCCTTTTCGGAATAAGTCATGAGGGGGGTCGATGCTCGGTCCCAGATGGGTTGTTCATTTGGGGGGGTCCCCAGGCCCCATGTCTCTTAAAGGAATCTTGGAGAGGAAACGAATCCTGGGAGCTCTGGAAACGAAGATGTGGTGGAGGGATCCCACGTCGCTCGGGCTTCTGGAAGCTTCTTCTTGCCAAGACCATCGAACTGACATACATTGGGGTGGTTTGGGGGCGGGGTAACGTGCCATGCTGTATTTCTATATATTTCTATTAATGGTCTGGGATGGCATGATGTCCAATTAAACGTACGCAATCCGATGTGGGAATCGATTTGAGGTCACGGTACACCGTTCATGAATTGCTGGACGAAGATGGCCAGCTGGTACGCAAGTCCAGGGGTGCCTCTTCGAGAAGAAACCAACGCGGCTACATGTTCCGAGCAAATATCTGCTATGGCTTTGGTGGATTTCCCCCCGGAAGTTGCCATGAATTCCCCTCCAGTTTCTAAGCTTCTCAGAAGGTACTGCACTCCCTGGAACAAACATAGTTATGTGGATGCCATGGCCCGTTGGACGATCATTTTCCGAATACCAAACAGGTGGTGGGTGATGCTTTCAAAGGAGTGCACATGATTCTCAAAAGCTATTTCAAACACCGAACGGACACGGAGGTAGGCCAGGAACCCACGACCAGGAACCCACGAATTCATGTTAAAGTCTATGTGATTGTGATACCCAACCACATAAATGCTGATCTAGCAAAGACATTAACACACATGTACTGTAAACTGTGTTGTCAAACAACGTAAACACATTCTCCTACTCCTTGTCTGAGTGGGAGGTGGATATTAATACCTCAGTAGCCTTGCATCAAATTCTGTTTCGTTCCTCCTGTATTTGCACCAAGGAAAATCGCATCTCATTGGTGTCCTATGGTGTCCTCTTGGAAAAGATGGTCTGAATTCAGTGAAACAGCTTTATATGACAGCTGGTGTTCCCGATCTCGACCGCAGAGATTTCATCTGAGCCCCTCCGAACAGGTTAGCAGTCCACGGAACCTAACATGGAGACTCAGTTCGTCAGACTCAGTTCGTCACCTCAAAGCCACTCTTCACGTTCAGCGTCCACAGTTGAAGAATCATCCTTGAGGTCTTAAAGAGATATAATTGGTTCAATGTGAAGGTCATAGTCATAGTATCTGGTCATGCCAATCAAAAGCAAGCAACAAATAAACAACTGGTTCAATCATCCCAAGTAACTAAAGGTTGAACACCATTGAACATATCTAAAACATTGAAAAACCACCACTCATATAGTCAACCAAATGGTCAAAACATAACACCTCTTCCCCCCCGCGGCCGCCGGCCGCCCCACCGAGGCTGAGATCATGGAAATGCCAACGTGGCATGGCCCCTGAGGTGCTATTTGGAGCTGTTGGAGGTGCTGTTCGCAGCTGTTGGAGGTGCGCCAAGAGGTGCTGTTTCCGATGACTTGGGTTTTTGTCCAACCTCGAAATTGCATGGGGCTGACCTCGCAGGCATGGCGTCCAACCCCCCGACCTTGCAAGATCTATAGAAGGATTAGAAGGAGGGGTCGTTCATCATGAACGGCCGGCCGAACATCGACCGAAAGAGATCTGGATTTCTTTGGAAAAGTCCTGAAAACATCCAAACCCAGACACTCCATGGGACTGCCATATATGCCGCCCCATTGACCCCCAAAACCACCCCAATGTAGGCATATATGGCATACATGGAGTGTCTGGGAAACAAAGCGATAGGTTCCATCTCTCAAGTCCACCAAGTGACTCCCGTGTACTCCCAGCCACAGTCTGTCTGTTTTTTCCTTGGGGGGGCACGTTTTGGACCGATCAAGGAAGAGAAATACCGCTGGGCAGCGCCCCCGCAGCGCTGTCCTTCGCCTCCTTGGCTTCCTTGCTCAAGTTGAAGGTGAGGCCGATCATCCTGCAGCGCAACTTCAGCAAATGGTGGAGAACACCCTCCTGAAGAGGAGAACCCTACAGGTACAGCAGGCACGGCAGGATGAACTAGTATCTAGCCACCTGGGAGTATGTGTTGAGCAAATGGTTTGTTTTTCATGCACTGTTTCGTTCGTGAAAAAACGGGATGGAACACCTCACACTGTTGAATACCTGTACGAACGGGGTTCTCTGGGTGCGTCCTCCTATCGCCTGTGGCAGGAACAGGCTCAGTGACTGCATCAAGATGAACAAAGATCCGCTCGCGAAGACAGGGTGAATGGGAAGGATTTCGCCTGTTCAGGTACATGCCTGATTGGGTCACTTCGCAGGCCGGCCTGCTCGCGGAAAACAGGTTCCCTTCAATACATGACATGTATTCACTGTTTTGATTCCAAAAATATTCTTGTAGCATCTTGTAGCTGAAAAAGAAAAACACGACATGGACTGAATCCTTAGGGAACTCCTGTGTGTTTCTTTTTCTCTCGAGTTGATGGCTCAGCTGAGCCGGCTCTAGACTCCCTGCTCGACACACACCGCTCCTGACGGCCTTGCTGAGCTTTGCCTTGGCTCGTTGCTTCCTGAGCAAAACAGGGCGTTGGAGTGGGGGGGTGTTGGCGGATCCCGCGGATCCGCCGATCCAGCGGATCGGCCGGCAACGTGTGTCGGGTCGGTTTCGCGGACATAGACCGGTCCTCGACTTATTGGGCCAGGGTGTCTGTTTGGCCCAAATACACACCCACATGATCTGCATGGTGCAAATCCGTTGCTGTTCTTGGATGTTCTTGGTTTAACTTCATGTGAGTTTACTCGATGCATCCTCATCTACCATCACCACCTGTGATCTTGGCATCACGTGGTTTTCCAAAATGATTGTGAGGATTTGACCAACGAAGCCTACTCAATGTGTAAAAAGTCTTTGTGCCTTCTCATCTTGCTCCTTGTTGTAGCCAGCCTTTGTACTGCAGTTTACAAGCGATTTGTTGCATCATCTCTTCATGTCATAGAGACTTTGGATTTCACTTCAAGCAGCCTTAAACAACAAATAAAACGACCATCTCCCGAATCTCCCATACCTGTTTTGGATCACCCGTGTGCCATACGCTTCGACTTCTGTGTTTTTTTGGGAACACGGCATGACGCAGTCCATGCATGTACTGGGCCTGTTTTGGGCATGTTTCAGGCAGCAAGAAGCCCTAGCGAAAGATTTGCGCTGAACCATCGCCCAAACATCACTCAAAAGCGGAACCGGCCTGTTTTGGGCCTCCTTCACTGGTCTCCACCAACTCAACCCCGGCACAGTGCCCGGGTACTCGGACGATTTGGGGATGCCAGGGCCAACGAAGTAGGTCGATTCTCGTGTTCACATCCCTCGGTCCCCAAAACACTCCATGTTTACACCATCCACCATGGCAAAATGGACTCCCGAAACCCCCCAGATAGGCCTAGGTATACCAATATAGCACCCAGACTTACCCAAACCGCTCCGGTTTCGTTCCCAACCTGACAGGACCGGGTCCCGAACCAAACCGGGATTGGGGGCTGGGTTGGTCCGGACCCCCTCCATATGCGGGTCCAGTCTGGGCAGATGCCAGGAGTGACCGGGTGGGTGGTTCGTCTCATCTACTGGACGTTCTGGACACCGAAAACCACTTCCTCCGTTCGGGACCGGCACCTAAGAACGCCCTGGAACCGCCCTGGAACTACTTCCGCGTCTCTCCTCGTCTTGGTCGAAAGTCCATTTTTTGGATCTCGGGTTTGGTCCATGTTTTGGTGATTATGAGGACCATCTTGAACCCCAGTGATTGATACAAACATGTTTTTTTTTTTTTTTTTTTCGGAACAGTTTGGTAACAGTTGACCTATTCTTTCTTCCAAAGCTGCGAACCGATGCTTTCCAGAACCAGCGACTCGGATCCGGATCCACGTCGCTCGACTCGTCGTCCACTGGACGTCGCTCGTCATCGCGTGTCGTCGTCGCTCCCGAACTCACCCGCTGGATCATTCGAGGATCAAGTCATCGCTGGCATTCTCCTCCGTCGGACCCAGACACGACGCTAGGAAGCAAGTCTGGTGGTGAACATGCCCCAAGTCTGTAGACAGAGTGAGGAGATGTGAGGAGACCTTCCAGAATGTGAATGTTGTCGCTGTCAAATGACTCAAGTCAAAGTCCTTTAGCATTGGCAACCTGGCATGAAAAAAACAATGGGATGGTTGAGCCTCATCCATTGGATTGTTGCTTGAACATGCGGAAGCCACGATTTCAAGCATGTTGTTTTAGATTGTTTTAGGTGACCAGGTGCATTGAAATTCCTGTGGGTTGAACAGGCCAACTTTGTGACACAACACGAAACCTTTAAGTTCTGTTCATCCATTGGCTTCAATGATGTGCCTGACCCAATGACCCCACCTTGTACCAGTGAGGAAAACTGTTCGTTCTGAGGTCCAATGTGAAGGCCCACGCTAGCACAGCAGTAGTGTCCAAGTTTCATGTCCAACAGGTACACCTGGCAAATTTAACATGGAACCTGAAAAATGGACCAGACTGGAGGACAATTTTCCTCTACAACCCAGTGGTTTTCCGGTTCTGCTTGGAAAGCGGTGCCTCCAAACCTGCTGTCACTGAAAACCATCTGTTCACTGACCACAACTTGTTGTCCAATCAAATGAACAAGTCATCTACCAAGAAAAACATGTTGTTGACTTCAACCATTCCATGCCCCCAAACATTCCTCAAGTGGGATCACCATTCCTGGCCATGTTCCTACCACCCCGAAAATGAATGATTCACAGTGTCAGATACAATTGGATCGGAAGACAAGACCGGGTCGTGCTGCGAACCTTCTGCTTCCCACGTCGCTACTAGCACTGTCGAGTGACCAGCTCAGTCGGATTTCCGATCGCCAAGCCAATCCTCAGGAAGCAAAACATGTAGGCAAAAAATACAAAAACAAATAAAGGGAAGACGGGAAGACTCCGTTCTTCTGGAGATGATGCGATGACATGAAAAAGATGCCAGCAGCCATCCAATCCAACGTGGTCTTATTGCGGAGGAAACCAGGTGCCCATGAGGAAGAATCACTGGACTCAAAACCACATCTGTGGTGATCCGTGGTATACCAAATAAATATGGATCCCCATGGGAATTCGGAGGTTTAGTGGGTCGAAGTCAGGCCATTGGTATGGGTATAAAACGTTTTTTTCGGTATAAAACGGGCAAAACAGCCTCTCTATAGAAGCAGCAGACTCATCTATCTACATCAACGTAGTGGCTTTTTCGGCTGCATCCGATTCAACAATTGCAACAACATGAACCACTATAAAATACCCAATTGCAACATCTGAGTTGCTAAAGTAAGAAAAAGGCCAAACTAGGGTAAGGTTGTGCCCTTGATTTTACAGTGACTGCTCGTGAGCCTGCCGCAAACGGACAACACTTTTGACGCGGACGCTCGACGCGGTCATGCTGGACTCGGTCATTGCTAGGCCAGATCATTCTGGACTTCTGATTTTTTTCTTCCTTGCTTTGATATTCTATAAAATCAGGGGCCTAAACTATCACCCGGACAGCTCTATAGTACAAAGGTCCCAACCTTCCCATGAGGACCCTCTATACAAAATGGGGGCACTACCTTTAGTATCCTTTAGTCTAGATTTTGGGGTCCAAAATGCACGCCCCTCAAGAAGCTTGGTCCCCCCATGTTGTAGAGGTTTTCAATGCTAAATCGACACAACTTGATCAGCGTAGAACATTCAGCTCGTTCAGGTCGCACATTCCATCGGAACTGCAGTGCACACATTCAGAGTTTGCGAAGCGGATCTCGGCGGTGTGCGTCACCTATCTTTCTGAAGATCTCCCATCTCCACTGAAAGGATTGACAGTATCACCACATGGCTGGGTTGCCTTTGGATTCTTCACGGAACCCGGGACCCAAGCAGCTTGGCGCCGATCGTTTGAGCATTGCCAAACCTTCCTCAACATTGAACAATCGCTTTGAGTGATTGCCCTGGTGAAGGACCACTTTCCAGATTTGCCACGAGGAGGCCATCAAAAACACTTCCGACTTTGACGCGGCACCACTCTCCAGATTGAATGCGCATGAGAACTTCTGGCAACCGAGATGACATTGATCATAGCTGCCAAAACGCAACCGCTTCCCAATCTTGTCAAAAAGAGGTAAAGCATCTTCTTTATATGTATATAGCTGCATTTACCCCTGAGTCAGGTCTGCGGTTCAAAATCCAAGTTTATCAAAAAGAAATCATGACAGTGTTCCCCACATGACAGCCACATAATCATTCCACAGCGCGCGACTATTCATGACTAATCGATGACAACATCCATACATCGATGACAATACAATGTTGTGAAGCCACATATTATCATATGAAAATCATGACAGTGTTCTCACCATGATATCCACGTTATCATTCAAAATAACGTGACTCATCGATGACAACATCCACACATCGATGACGATCTTGCAAATCAAATGACAATGTTGTGAAGCTAAAGATTGTCTTATGAAAGTGATGTAAGTGTTCTCAGCATGACATCCACGTTATCATTCCAAATCGCGCGACTCATCGATGACAACATCCACACATCGATGACGATCTTGCAAAACCGATGACAATG